AGGGAACAGAAAATAAGAATGAAAGTGATAAAATTTCAGAGCACAAAGGATAAGAAACAAAGATAGAAAAAGCAAGAAAAAAGACAAGGACACATATGTTGCCAAAGACAACATTACCTGTAAAATACTTTCTCATACTTTTATTGCTCATTAAAACTGTCAATATAATAAAGCTACATTATATCAAACAAGAATAGAAACTGTAAATAGCACTCAAGGTCAGCACACACAAAATGTACAGGGAAAGCTGAATATGTACTATAAAATAATTTGAGGTTCCTCAGGCACAGCACTAGTGAAATTCAGGCACAAGATTTGTTTCTAAAAAAGTCTGTTCCAGTTCTTCTGTGACATTGTTCAGCATCTTGGACTGCCACTCCTGAGATGCATCTAAATCTTCTTCATGACCTATGTCATGATTACAAGAAAAAAGTTGAGACATATTTATAGCTTTTCGCATGTGCAGAATTAACACTGATGGAAATGACTGCCAGCAGATGCAGTGGACACAGCTCCTGAAGGACCAGGTACAAGAATGAGCAAAGACCCAAGAGCTGCCACATTTTAACCTCTGCACCTCAAACATAGGCTCAGTGAGTCTGTTTAAAGTACTCTCTGCTTGTTCTTGCACACCCTCCTTATGTCTTTATCCACCTGCACTACATTTCAGATGTCACTAGTGTGAAAATCTACAACAGCCTCCACTGTTGGATTCTTTATGATGACACCCACAGGAAGCTTCAGACACACTAAACACTGCCTCGAAGTGAAGCAGGAGCTGTATCTCAGCTGTGTCACACGCCATTCCCATAGCCACTTGCAGTAAACTCACATAGAGTGGGCAGGCCCAAAGAACTCAGGGGAATTTCAGAGACTGCAGTCTCTTTTGACTTATGGAACATGTAACTATGATTCATGGTCATCTCTTGTCCCAGAGCCATATATGTCACTGCTCAGGTGAAAGAGCTTGGATGTCATGGGACTGGACAGACATGCCTTCAGCCCATTAATATTATAGAAATGAAAGTGGGCTTACATGAGCAGGCAAACTGGCATGGCAAGGCAGGTTACCCAAAGTTAAAGCAATTAGAAAGATTTCCAAAACCAGCATGAAGTAGAACTACAAATGAAAGTGCTTTATCTTCAGCCAGGTGCAGGGTTGGTGGTTTGTGTTCAAACAGCTCAGGCTCATGTCTGACCATTGAAAATCTCTGCTCTGTTGACTTGTTAGGGTCATGCAAGCCACACAATGTGAACAGAGTGGGGCATCTCATAAGGATCATCATCATGAAGACAACTCAAAGCAAAGAAAACAACCCAAAATTCAGTGTTCCTTTTTCCAAATACTACTCATGTTATTCTTCTGATTCAGTTGTTTTTGGAGAGTCCAATTAATATAGCACTCAAAACAAGAAACCATAAGTTAAGTATTGTGTTCTATAGAGGACTTTAAGAAGGTATGAATCTAGTGCACTACTGGAGTTAGAAATATGATGATCAAAAAAAAAAAAAAAAGGAAATAGGGTGATCAACCCAAATCATGTTGAAAATGAAATGTGTTGAATGTGCAAGAAATACCCAATTGAGCAAACATTACTTCTTTTTTTTTTTTTTTTTTTTTGTCTTTTTCCTTTTCATTGGTACCAGGAATCGAACTCATAACTGCCTGCTTGCAAGGCAGGCCCTTATGCTGCTGAGCTAAATACCAGCCCTGAGCAAACATTATTTCTACACATTGGATCCTTTAAGCCTGCTCAACACATTTGCTTAATCTATGTTTGGGGATATATAGATAACATAATCCAAATTTCATAATGAAACACTAAAATCTCTCCAATTTAAAATCTCAATTCACTTAATTGAGTCCACTGCAATCACTAGTTGTTCAGCATCAGTGTCCTGTTGCTCAAGAGCAGTGATTCATCATTGCTGTCCTCCGACATGGACAAGCAGTATACTATACACCACTAGTGTAGAAAAACAATAAAATTGGAAATATAAAGTAAAATTTTCATTAAATAATTTTCCTTTATTTTTCCAAAAAGTTTTTTACTGGGCCTAGAGAATGTTAAACAAGTTACTATCTATTGTAGATAAGTCCCAGAATTCATATATTGTACTGAAAGAGGGTCACGCTGAATTCTTCAGGCCAGTTGTTGTAACAATTGTCACACTTGTCACAGTTCCCAAGTGGCTGAGAGTAAAGGTGTGAATTATCATACATCACTGATGTTTACTCTATCCAAGCATTCAGATCTTCGTACATCATGGTATATAAGAACATCCCAACCTTAAACTGATACAGCAATACACATGTATTATTATGTATGCATTAAATGAGTTACAAACACTATCAAAAACTCACAGCACTTAAGGCATCGTAGTAAGATTAGTTCACAAAAATTTTTTAAAAATTTAAAAACTTAGCTCAGAACAAACTTCAACAGTTCAGTCTCTACAATAATAAACAAACAAACAAACAAACAAGCATGCTGAGCAGGATGGTGTACACCTGTAGTCCCAGCCACAATGAGGCTGGGGCAAGAAGTTTTTAATGAATTTGAAGCCAGCCTGCTCTACAATGTGAGATTCTGTCTCAAAAAATAAATTAATAAATTAATCATCAAGATCATCTGGAAATACTTGACACACTGGAGATAACCCCGCCATTCTACTTCTGCTAAGGTGTCTACAATAACTTTAAAGCAAAACAAGGCCAAGTAGTTTCCTCTTTTCAGATTTTGCCTCAGAAAAGATTCCATGAACTGATCAGTAGCAGCAGAAGGCACAGTTGCCTATAATTAAATTCCCTTCCTTTCTTCAAGCCTGTGACCTTTGCCCACCTCACAAAACAAGCAAGTACACAAGTCTGCCTACCTAACCATGGATACGCTGTACTACGTCTATTTCAAGTTTCTCCCCTACTCCAGTACTAATTTGAAAGTCTATCACAAGCATTTTTAATTTTAATAAAAGTAACAATTAGGCCAAGAACTATAGCCCTTAATACAGAAATTATGCCTGGTTCCTTTCCACTCCTACACATAATCACACATATATGTCCATGTAAATGCCCCAATTCAAGGTGTCTCTCAATGTGGGTTTAACAGACACCGCTTCTGAAAGTTGTCTCTGGCAGTTACACCTTTCTCCCTTCTTTCCTAAGATTTTGATCTCCACTAATTTTTCCTCAGTATTCTAACTCTGTGTCAGAACTCACTTAAATTGTGAATGGAATTGTCAGCTAAATAATTAAAATTTTAACTTCTTTAGCATTGCTCTGTATAGAGCAATTCACTAGATATAAGGCAGGTGCGCTTCCCTGGAGCACACCACATGTTTTTGAATTCTCAGGACATTTCTCAGTATATAATATGAGTTTAGAAATGAAAGGAGGTAGTGGAAATTTACAAGATCACCACAAAGGTAAAAAGCAAGTTTGATATGGGATTGTGGGAATGAGAACCTACATCAGAGATATTAATAACCTTCAAATTATCCAGCAATGCTGCTAACTGGAATGAAACCAGAGATCTAGCTCACCATCACTGTATCCAACTCCAATTTTCAATTTAGCCTGGATCTCCCCAAGACTCTTTCTCTTCCCATAATGGTGCAGATGCAAAGGTAGCAATGGTTTTCTCAAGAGGGTACTCAGACTGGCAGTGTAACACTGGGCAAAATGTCCTGAGAACTCCAAACTTGTCTTGTTCTAGCCATGTTATAATCAGCTGAATTAAATAGTAATATTATAGAGAGTAAGAGAGGACTAAGCCTTCAATGGAGCCAGTGCAGAAGACCAGATATCTTGCAACTACGGAAGTAACAAATACTTTTTCTGCTGTAGGCCAGATCTCAAAACAAAAGACAAAACAAACAGAACTGCGCCCTAGTATAAACAACAGGGATTGATATAGGTACCTGTCACCTTGAGGTAGACAGAAGGCACTACTCCAACTCCCTACAGCCAAGGCCTTACTCCTCCTTGCAACCTTCCCTATTGGATCATAATTTCTTCAATTTTACCTGAGCAATTAACTCATAATCTTATTGATTGACTGTAATTCTCTCTGACCCATCTCAGGCTTCTCTACATTTCAAGTTCCCATCCTCCTCCCCTCCCCACCTTGGGGTTTTGCTGTTCTAAAATCCCTACAAAAATCGCAGTTCTCAGCTGGGCATGGTGGCTCATGCCTGTGATCCCAGCACTAGGGAAGTTGAGGCAGGAGGATCTTTGCCAGTTTGAGACTACCCTGGGCTACAAAGTAAACCCAAGCGCAGCCTGAACTGCATAGGGACCCTGTATCAAAAAAAAAAAAAAAAAAAAAAAAAAGACCAGAAAATGTTCCAGTTCTTGGAATCCGGATATCTGGTAAGTCCTGAGTTTCTTTCCCTTCTATCAGCAGTGGGAAAAAGGAACAAAAACGGACTCAGTACCCATCATCTCACATTACATCAGGATCTGGAGCTTGAAGGGATTTTTCTCTGAATGAGATGCTGCAGTAGTGGGAGGCTGAGCGACAGAACCAAGAGGCTCTATCTTGAGGTCATCTTCTCTGGCCCTAGGCAATTTACCTGTGGTGGGAAATGAATTCCAAAGGGCTACTTGTGCATTGGTAATGCCCCTTAGACACCACCCCGAACGTAAGCTATGTATATGCTCCCGCAAACGTGCCTGGCAGAGAGAAAAGCCGAATCTCAGTGGTCCTGGGCTTCTCTCTCCGCGATCTTAAAATAAAGGCCACTTTTATTTCATATTTCTATCTTTTTAGCCACGCTGAAAATTCTATCAGAGCTGAAATGGGGGAAACCCAGGCACCACAGTTAGAGATCTTTTTCTTTTGGTACCAGAGTTCGAACTCAGGATGTCACACTTTTCAAAAAGGCACTGTGCCACTGAGCTACATCACAGGCTCTAAGCCACCGCAGTTACTTTGGTTAATTCTGACTAGACCTCTTCCAGATTCCGCCCCACCTGTCTTTCCGTCCCAAAATGTTACCATTGCGCAGCTTGAGGATCTGCTAGGGTATTTCTAATACAGGCTATAGCTTGTAGAGTTCACAGAAAGCAGCGTATCCAGCCAGGGTACAATGTGCAATGTGCGAGGGGAAAGTTCTTCGGCGCCATGACACAGGAAGAGCCCTCCTCCTTTGCCACCTCTGATTGGACAGTTTATACAGTTTTCTCCTTTTTCATTGACTGGCTTACGTTCTATTACCCGCCCTCTGAGCCCAGCGGGAAAAGAGAAATCTTTACCTGCAAGAGTGGGGCTCAGTTCCAAGACTTTAACGCTGAGATTTCTGAACCAGGTTCTCTTATAAAATGTTAAACTCATCTCGCCTTACTAATAATACTTGCATTTAAAGGCTGTACTCTGAAGTCTCAGAGTTGACGGTATTTTCTTATAGGAATCAGTGGAGACTTTTCTTGAACATGGGTCACAACTGTGTTCATAAGGTTCTGATATAGGGGACTGAAACTCCTAACCTTTTGTATGTCAAGGATGAGTTTGTGTTCTCTAAAATTAAGTTCAGGAACAACAGAGGTTAATAGTGGAATATATTCATTGAGAGAAAGATTCTGTCTACAAGATAGAGAAAGAAGCTTGAGTGGATTGCTAAACACTCTTTCTTTTTAGGGGCGTATATACAGTAAAATCATGAGGTTAAATGAGTCCTAGTTGGGGGAAATGGGAACTGGCCAGGTGGGACAAAACTGTGGTCAACTAGTAAGACTCAGGTACAATTGATTAAATTTAGAACAAATGGAGTGACTCTCCTAGTAAGTGGGCACACTTAGCAGCACTGGCTGTTGTAGCTGTTGAGATACTGACTCCTGACTTCCTCAGGGTGATAGAGAACTATTTGAACTGTTGATGCTTACGAAGTGGTTGTATTTGCTCTGGCTTTTGTCTTGAGATCTGGCCCATAGCTAGAGGAGCTTATCTCTTGCAAGGCTGCAAGATGTCTGAACTTCTGCTCTGGCTCCTTGGAGGGCTCAGCCCTATCTGACTGTCTATTTTATGTCTCTAAGTCCACTGCCTCTAACAGTTCCAGGGCCAATAGTCTAGCAAAGTCTCCTATGTCAGAAAACTACCTGAATCTAGGCCACCCCAAGACACAGTACAACAGAGGAACAACTGGTTCTTTGAAAGATCAGTATTTGGGAATCATATAACTGGTTTCATTCTGAAGATTTTTGCACTATCTCTTTCCATCTGTTAATTTTCAGGTGAAAAAAATGAATATTTGCCCCATAAAAGGAAAACAAAACATTAGGATTAAATCATAGCAATATTCTCTACAAGAGAAAAAGATGAAAAAAAAAAAAAAAAAAAGCAAACATCACCTCTTCCACACAAGATTGCTGCTCATCCAAGGTCAAAGCCCACCTTATTCATTTCTGAAAACAAGCATATTGGACACTTGAAGGAGAGGTGCAGCCCCACTGCTCATCCACTGAACCATTTGCTTGTGATGAGCAGGAAATCATGAGAACATCAGACTATAATTTTCTCATGCCCTGCAGTGCTCTCCTTACAAGTTAATATTTGCCTCTTTCGAGAACTTAATATTCTTAGAAGGAATATGTTGCCTGGAGTCATGTGATACTTTTGTTAACTCATTTAGTTTAAGATATGCATTGGATATTAAAAGAGCATGTGTCTAAATATGTCTTGTGAGTTAATCATGAGTTTGGTATGATCCACTAAATCTTGTCCCTGCATCCTTTCTCTTTGGCTCCTTCTATGCTTAGGTTCCTGAGGTTCATAAAGTAAGTTACCAATTTTTTTTATTTCTATTTGCCAAGGTGTTTCTATATTGGAAACAGCCTAAAGCAATTTGCATCCTGAAACAAGGAGACAAAATGAACCTATTTTTCTTAAATTCTGTGTCTCAAGTAGTTTATCCCTGTAAGTAACTAAGTATATAAATACATACATAAAAAACCAAATAAAATTCAGTTACGTGTCTCTCCTATATAACCTTCCAAATGCATCAATTACTTTCATCCTTTAGTTTAGTGACTGATGCCTTGTAAAATATCATCAATATGAAAAGGAGGTCATGGGAGGTATGCAATAGCACCATGGGTAACATTTATAACTGTGCTTGTCACTGCTTCAAATTTGTCATGAGGTGACCAGCTTGCTCCTAGCACACCATTCTGTAATTTAAATTTTAGGTAACTCAGTTATAATTCAGGTGAAAAAGTTTTAATTTTATTTTAATCTTTCCTTTTTTTCTTACTTCTTTTTCTGTTTTTGGAACATGGACTCAGACACCATTAGGTTTTCCTATATCCTACTTGGTAGATTCTTCTACACAATATGCAGGAATAGAAGAAAACTTTGCAAAACATTGAAATGTAAAATAATACTAGCAAATAGTTTTGTAGATGATCTAAACACAGATTGAATAATTACACTTGCATGTGATAATATATGAAATAATATGAATTTTTCAATTTAGATCTTCAGTATTCACAGCTCTTTAAAAGAGGACAAGATATTATGGCAGCCATTGTTTATTTTCCTATTGTCTGGTTTTGAAGGCTTGTAATGCTTTCATTCTTCTGGTTTGATCACATTTATACTATTTGGTTTTGTTTGAATTCCTTGTGTGTGAAGATATAGACAACTATTCAAAGTAAAGAAGAGACATTATGATAGCCACTGTTGAGCACCTGTTGTTTGGTTTGAAATTCTCTGTCACTTGCATTGTTTTCTTTGGATCAGCTTTATTCTGTTTTATTATGTTTTGTTTTACCCTCTTTACAAAATTTTATCATCAATATAATTTTATTTCTAATAACAGTAAATCCATTGAAAATTGAACAAAAATTCTTCTAAGAAGATAATGCTATATTACAGAAATTTTGAAAGAAGGAAGGAGAAGAGACATTTCCCGTGTCTAATTCCTAGGTCCCATTAAGAATCAGGTATTTAGGGATTGGGATTTAGCTTAGTGGCATAAGCCTCTGCCTTGCAAGTACGTGGTCATGAGTTTGATCCCTCGTACCGATAAAAAACAAAAAAGAACAAAAGAAAAAAAGAGTAAGTTATTTAGACTGTAACCTGGAGCAGCAGGCACATACATTAAACTTACAAGAAGAATTGAGAAATACTTCTGCTGTATTTAAAACCAAACCTTGACAAGATTGCCAGTACAAATGCAAAGGAAGAGGCTATTAATTATTTCATTATGGGTAACAAGTACTACTTATTTTTAGGCCAAGTACATTTCAATGCTACTGAACAACAAGGAAATAGTCAATGCAGGCAAATTCTGGACAAAATATGAAATGCAAGTCTGATAACTATATAAAATGCATCAGGGAAACAACTTTCTAATCTACAATTGATCAAATTTTCAAATATAAGGTTGCAAATCTACAAAACATAGTTATTTTAAATATATATACATATAGGCTTTATGCACTCCAAACACTATAATATTTGAAATTTACTTCAATTGGAAAAATGTCCTGGAATAAGGATGAAATATGTAGAGCAGGTCAAAAATCAGTTTTATAAAAAAAATAAAAATCTTCACCCCAAAAATGAACAGATGACATGAGCAAATTTTTTAGGAAATTTTTTTTTGTCTTAACACAATACAATGCTGGAAATTTATCCACATCACCAAAGACATAGAATATTTAGCCAAGGGCCTGAATCCCACAGCAATGTCCCACATGAGCCCAGATGAAGAGCCAGAGTTCATTACAATGCCTCCCATGAGTCCAACTAGAGGTCTAGATCCCACAAGAAGGACTTATGCAAGTCTCTTTTATGGATCCATGCTGGGAAGGCCAAAAGGTCAGTGGTGGAAGCTAGAAAGTCTATGTCAGGAGGGTGAGGAGCTGTGCTGGTAGGTTGAGGAAGCTGAGAAGTCACACTCACAACAAAGACCAGGGCTGTCCTGAAAAGCACCACAGCCATCCTCAGCAACATGCAGGCCCTGAGCTCCTCCAATGACAAGCATAGTCATGTACCTACCAGGAAGCCAGCATGATGAGTTCATCCTAGAGACCAAGTGCCACATGTCTTCCCTTCTGCAGAGAGGAAGCAATGCTTGATGTGAGGATCATCGCCTCTCCAGGAGAACCTAATGGCTCAAATAACAACGTATAGAAGAACCTACAATGCCTCAGTACCTCAATGCACTTCAATGCAACAGCTTCTTCTTCATGTATCTATTTATGCTGGAAACTTTCCTCAGGTGAAACATCTATGCTCAACACCTGGGTGATGTAATCTAGCTGGTTAAATTGATCACCAGTTTTGAATCCATAACATCACTGAAGTTCACTCACCAATAATTTTGGAAACAAACTGTCTATTGACAAAGTATTTGAAAGGGGAAAACTAACACCTCTGAGTTCTGCCTACCTGGGCATAGTTCTGCAACTGAATCACAAGGTGTAGGAGTCTGTCACGTTGTCTTGCACCCTCTTTTTCCTAGCTCCTCATCACCTGGGCTGCACTACATTAGCAAACTAAAAGAGGCTTCACTGAGTAATGCTGAGAGTTGAGACACCTTGCAAGCTGTGCAGGGATTTCTAAGAGGTTCCTTAAACACGAAGACTCATGATGTCCCTTTCTGTAAAAACCATTGCAATTGACTCTACCAAGATGTCAACAGGGCAGAGTTTTCCTTAGGCTATGGTAAATACAGAAGGTATATAAGGAGATTCCAGATGCTACAGTCTCTATGTCATTATACAACACATTGAAAAGCTTTATGCATAACTCTTTATTGTGATATCTTATGTCCTGTTCTCTCATTGCTGCAACAAAATACATGATGTGCAAAATTAAAGTAAGAAAGTTTTATTTAGCTCAGAGTTTATGGATATTTCAGTCCATAATCAGCTTTAATGTAGATGGAATGGCACAGGGAAATAGCTCAAGTTGCCAGAAGTCAGCAAAAGCAACAAGAGCAAAATGTTGGATGGGGGATTCAAGCTTCATTTCTTTCCTTATATAGTAAGAAGGCCAGCCCTCCCTATGATGAATGTAGCATCCACACACTCTCCATGCCCTCCTGTTGAACATGATGAGGATGCTTCTATACAAACAACCCCAGCTCCCAGCTGAGTGGGTTAGCTAAATTTCTAAACTTCTCAATTTGACAAAATGGA